ACCCTCACTATGTAAGCGCCTATCCAAGTAGCTTCTTCTAATCTCTGCACGAAAGGGATGAAGCCTTCATTCGTAGCAGAGGGAGCACTTATCAAATGTACACAACGCGAGACGTACCAAGCCATTAAGTAAGTATACGGCAAGGGTACACGAGGATTTGGGGTCACCAAGCTTTTTGTTCCTTCAGAGTCTATCTCCTTCACTTGAATAAACTCGAGACACAATTCCCTCAAGTCATGCTGCAAACAACACGTCATGGCTAAAAGTAGATTTATAGGTATCCCGTGAGCTAAGAGGACAGCCGGATAAGCTACTTCAATCATCACAGCATCTATTGGTCTGGTAGGGACCAAAACCCCCGCCAATAAAGCCATATCAGAGATGGGAGTGGCTACCTGGTGATGGAAGCTTTCAAATTCAGTTTGCGCTGGGAAATCATCTTCTATTCCCTCGCTAACATAGTGAACGGTGGCGTCATTAATCAAAGCTTGAATGGTCTCAGGAGTGCTCGCCTCCCGACGAGATACGGTGGCAGTCTTGTTGGACAAATTCTGGAAAAGGTACTCAGCCCAAGATAGCTGTTTAATACCACGTCCACGTGCTCCTGTCAGTTAGCTACAGATTTGGAAATGACACATTACCTCCCACAGAGTGTCATAAACTTCGGGGTTCGTCTCCTGCAAAATCTTCAGCTCAGTTGATCCAGGAATAAACTCTTCATATGGCAAGTCTCTAAAAGGAAGACCCGAGACATCAAACATCTCATGCAGGGCTAACCCTAATTCTCCTTCCGGCGTGAAAAATGTACAAGTCTCTGGATTGTACCGCTCCAGAATGGCAAAGAAATTGTAAGGGCTAAGAGCGATACCATATTTAGTAGCCATAATAGGGCAACCAAGCCCAGATTGAGCTAGTGGTCCCTTTAATTCTGCCAACACGAATTCTATCATTCGTGCCCACCAGCCTGCCTTGGTGGAGTGTACCCATCCAGGAGCTCAGAATACTGCAGTTGGGAACTCTCCTTTGGCGGCTAAAAATCATCGCAAGAATGTGTTAGCTGGGCTAGCTGTCTCTCCTAAAGGATATCCCCGCGAGAATCAGCAGGGTTCCAAGGCCGACACTTGTCAATTATAACCAGCGGTATGCACACCCTTGTGAGTCAAAACCCCAACAGCTACCCCATCTTGCTCTCTCACCAAGTCCCAGTTCATGTGGCGCGGAACAGAAGCACACTGGTAGTAAGAGATGGGAAACATCCTGTGCATGTCAGGGAGGAAGAGACGACGATCTCCAATTTGTCTTAGCCACTTGTAATGGCCGCCATGCACAATCTCTTTTGAGATGGTGACACGATCCTCAAATAAAAAAGCTGGCTTGACGAGCTTCTTACGGGACCCAGTCTCAAACTTGGCGTCCGTAGCTAATACCCTAAGTGTATCTGTACTGGGATCTGAGATCAAGGCGACACGATCCTTGTCAGAATCTTGGAATATCGGGAGTTCTTAACACAGATTGAATTGCATGTTAAAATCCGCGCCGCCCCCATGCCCGAAGTGGTGACGAAGATTGAGAGGTTCGCGGGTGTAAGGCACTACAAAAGAAAAAATATTCAATCAATCAAATGAAGGGAGCTTTAGTTAAGTCCATAAGAAAGAAAATTATCAAACGTACAGTTCAGACCTGGCGTTTAAAATTCATCAACGCAAAGGTCGAACTCTGCGTTAAACTTTCAAACGCACAGTTCAGACCTAGCGTTAATTTTCATCAACGCAGAAGTCAAACGCTGTGTTAAGTTTTCAAACGCACAGTTCAGACCTGGCGTTAATTTTCATCAACGCAGAGGTCAAACTCTGCGTTAAGTTTTCGAATGCACAGTTCAGACCTGGCATTAATTTTCATCAACGCAGAGGTCAAACTCTACGTTAAGTTTTCGAACGCACAGTTCAGACCTGGCGTTAAAATTTCATAAACGCAAGGGTCAGGCCCCTGACGTTTCGAATTCAAAACGCAGAGTCTTAACTCTGCGTTACAATATCGGAACGAGTCTTCTTCCTCATTTGCAAGAACCCATCTAGGGTTTTTCAAATAACTTGCCGAAGCAAGTTTGACGGCAACAAAAAGCAACACTTACCACCGACGAGTGGAGCCCGAGGCGGCGGCGCTGTCGCAGCAGTGGGTCTTGGAGGAGAAGCGGCCTTCTTTTTTGAACCCATGGAGGATGAGGATCGGAGAAGATGAACAAGGTCACCGGAGTTGGAAACGAAGAGTCTTCGTTAAAAATTGATCGAAGAAGAAGAGGCAAAAAGTCGGGTGACTTTTGATTTAACCTGTGGCAGTCTATTTATAGACAGCTATGAGCTGTCAAATCGGGTCGGGATTCTAGGCCCAAAATCCCGCCAAACACGGCCTGTGCGCCTGTGTTGATTGAGCTTCTGAACGCAGAGTTCAGCTTTGCATTCTAATGCTTCAGCACAGAGAATTCACCTATGCGTCTGCATTGATTGAACTCCTAAATGCAGAATTCAACTCTGCGTTTCAATTCGATGACACAGGAAATTTACCCGTGCGTTCTAACTCAACCAAATGAATTCCTCTATGTTTAAAGCCATTATATGGTCTCAAATAAATAGAGGGAAGCTGATGTCAGCTACCAAGGTGACTAAAGCCAAGAAGAAACAGGAGACTCCACTGAAGAGTTTGTTGGATGAGTATAAGCAGATTGCAATCAGCCGAGTTCGGCAATGTCTTCAGATTAGACGAATGAACAATCAATCCACTAAATTTTGGGATCCAAAGTATTCCGAAAATTCATCCCAGTCAACCGCGAACTTTCGAAAACTTTGGAGGGGGTTCTGTAGGCTGTCTAAAAATCACAACGGATAGCTAATCCCTATCAAGCCCTGACAATAGAAGTCACGATCAGACGGCTTTTTGATCACTACAACCGCTACAAACACAACCTCATGATTGATCTTGATGGCTGCGACAACAGCATGACTAATACTATATTAGCGACTATTAGAGATGCTGATGAGCAGTGTAATGATTTTAGAAATAAAAGGTTGGACTTAGCTGGTGAGTTGCTTGGTAGAGAGCTGTGGGCAAATATTCATCTAAAAACACTATGGATGTTGATTCCCGTCAAATTCCAACAACGAAAGCTACAATCAAATAGCTTTCGCGCCGACAATCGAAAGCTACAGATAGAGGGCTTTTCACACAGATCGAGAAGAGTTACAATTCGACGACGCTTCCGACAGCTGATGAAAACTCTGTTCAGTGGTCTTCGCAACCAACAGTGAGAGTTACACTCTGACGACTCTCATATCCTATAACAGGCAAAGATCAATAAGCAATAGCCTTTGCAATGTTATAATGGACGAGGTTACAAGTCAACAACCTCTCTCAAACGCAGAAATTCACTTCTGTGTTTCTCAAATTCAAAACGCACACAACCTGTGCGTTCCTCAGCAGACATCGAACTCTGTAACGCAGAGTTAAATCACGAAATGCACACGTAACGTGTGTTCTTCGACAGACTCAACTGTGTCCTAAACTCTGGACACAGAGTTGAACTTCAACGCACCAATGACCTGTGCGTTTCTAATTCCAGAACGCCAACTGGGGCATTTTGACTTGTTCAAACACAAGCTGAATGGCCTCATAACCGTTTATCCCACGTTCTGAGGGATTCTCGCCCACGAAGGAGCGGAATAGGGGTTGGTTATACCCCTTATCCCCCTATAAATAACCGACTTACTCAACTGAGTAAGAGGTTGATCGATTTCTAGCAGTAAAACCGCATAGGGTTGAGGTGAGCTGGCATCAAAACCGCTTAGGGTCAACAAATCTCAGCAGTTCAACAGCACGAAGAAGGAGATCTTTTGAAGATCAAGGAAATGATCAACAATCAGTTAATCGAATCCCAGAGGATCCCTTCATCAACGGCGTAATCCACTTGGCAATTAACCGAATCTTCGGTTCCAACAACTCTGTTACAGAGTTTCAACTCACTCTGAGTTTTGAAACTCATTTAAGAGTTCGTGATTAAGCTTGCAATCCAAGTTAATCATATCAAATCAGACATTCGGTTTTCAACAACTCTTGTCAGAGTTTTCAACTCGTTCTGAGTTCTTTATACTCGTTAAGAGTTCTAAACCGAAGTCATCAAGCAATTCAATCGGTTTCGTGAGATAGGACGGTCGGATCGTCAACGGAGAGCAAGTTCGACACAATCAATCGAAGGAGGCACTCCATCGCTACCAAGAAGAACCTGTTTTAAACAAAGGGGAGAATCAAATTCATTCTCCTCTCTTTTGTAATCGGAATCCAAATTGTAATTGATTTTGAGAGGAATACAAGTCAAATTTTTCTTTCATTGTCTTTTTACTGTAAATTTCCAACAAACACACCCCCCACCCCCACCCCCACCCCACCCCAAGGGTAATTTCACTTAAATTACCTATATAAATAGAATCTCAAGTGAATTATTTTGAGTTTTTACCCTTAGAGAAAGCAACTATTTCTTGATAAATTAAATAGCCCTCCCTGAGGGTAAAACCGTCAAAAATCACTAGATGGGATCTATTTGCGAAGATAAAGATAAAGGAATAATAAATTCAAAACAGCAATATAACAAAGGAGTCCACCGGCCGTAACTAACCCTTGATTATAGGAAATTTAACTTGCAGAGACCTGCGCCGCGAACTGTATTTATTAAAACCCTAAATGGATGAGGGTTCAAATGTCAAATTTCCACTGTCTCATGCAGATGGAATCAAGAAAAGCTCACGCAGTTTCCCGGAACTTAATCCCCCTCTATCAACTCATACCATACCTTAACCTATAGCCCACGAAACCCCTAATCAACAATAACCATAATCCTCAATAACTAAACCTTAATAAAAATCCCCAGTCGTTACCCATCTCCCTTCCAAGAAGCTCTTTATTTATAAGTGTACATATATACAACCTCTCATATATCCCAAACTTCCTAAAAAAATAAAAAATTGCATCATGAAAGATCAAATGTTCATCGTGTTCGAGGATTTTTTGCCGTCACTGGCTGCAAGATTAGGGCCAGATGGCTTTATCGGAGAGCTATGCAAAGGGTTTCAGTTGCTGATGGACTCGGAGACAGGTGTGATCACAATTGAGAGCTTGAAGAAGAACTCGATGAAGCTCGGGCTCGAGGGCTTGGGGGATGATGAGCTTGAAGAAATGGTAAGGGAGGGGGATTTGGATGGGGATGGCGTTTTGGATCAGATGGAGTTTTGTGTGCTCATGGTTAGGTTGAGCCCGGAGTTGATGGAGGGCTCTTGGAGGAGAGCCTTGAGTTGGGGTTGACATTTATGGTAGTTAGGTATTTGGTTATTGCTTCCCTTTTCTCCCACCCCCCTCCCTTTTTTTTCTTTTTCCTTTATTTCTTTTTTCTTTTTCTTTTTTTTGGGTAGGGTGTGCTTAGATTACTCGATGGGGTTGTTTGGAATGTTTGAGAAAATGTTAGTGAAATAATATGTTATACAATAAAAATCTCGTGATGGGAAATATATATACCTTGATTGCATATATGTTTGTTAATTTCGATATGTGAAACGTATATATGCTCTTACGGGCCTCTTTTACCTTTTTCATTTATTTTCTTATATATTGCTATTTATGCATGCAATTCCTAGGGTACACAAGAAGCATTTAACTAATTTGATTGATACTTTAATTCACTTCTTCTATAATATCTTAGGCTAATTTTTCTCCCTTTTGTATATATTACTACAACTTTGAACCGCCCCTACAATTATTAACTTACTGGTATCACATCACTTCTTGCTTTATTTCACCTAAATTATCTTCATGCATCATACAAGTCCATGCCTGTTAAAGGTCCCTTGTCACTTGACCAAAACTCTGAAGTCATGCATGGTAAGCGTTGAAGTTGTAATTTTATTCTCTAGCAATAACCTCACAAGCTGGCAACTAAACAGAAAACTCTCTTATGCGGGGAGGATTCAACTAATAAAATCTGTTATTTTGGGAATTCAAACTTTTTGGGCCAGCAATTATATTCTGCCAATTAAGGTCCTGGAAAAAATTGACAGCCTTTGTGCTTCTTTCTTGTGGGGTCAGAAAATGCATCTAGTCTCCTGGAAATCAGTCTGTTTAGAGAAGAAGCATGGGGGTTTGGGGCTATTTTCAGCTAAGGCTTGGAACTATGCCGCAGCTATAAAATTGTTGTGGATGATTCATCAGAAAAAAGACCTGCTCTGGATCAAGTGGATACATGGTCACTATTTGAAAAATGCAAATGTCTGGCAAGTTCGACAAAAAGTGAATGACTCATGGATGTGGAAACAGCTGCTTAAGGTCAGAAATATGTTGATATCTAAATTTGGTAGTGTTGATAATATTCAAAATATTTATGCTGACTGCTGTGTCAATGGCAATATCCAGCTATCTCGAGTGTATAATGTTCTTTGTCAGCCTTCTGCTACAGTCTCTTGGGCAAAAACAACCTGGGGGGATTGCACTATCCCAAGCATTCTGTTGTTCTTTGGCTAGTCAATCACTCCAGGCTCCTCACTAAGGATAGGCTGTGTCGGCTCAATATGCTGAATTCAAACCTGTGTGTACTATGTTCTAATCTGCCTGAAAACTGCGGACACCTGTTCTTTGAATGTCAGTATTCGGCTGATGTTTGGAATAAGATGATGGAATGGATGGGGTTTACATGGAGGTCATGTGTTTGGAGCCAACTCATAGATTGGTTTTCTCATAATTTGAGAGGGAGAGGTTTCAAGAAGAAGATGAAGAGAATGGCATTTTCGGTCTCAGTTTATTCTATCTGGCAAGAGAGAAATACTAGGATTTTTCAAGACAAATTTTGAGATTCTAGCAAGCTTTTTTGTGCTATTAAGTTCTGCATATACTCTAAAATTTTGAATGAGGAATTACATGTGCATATGATGTAATTCTCAGAGGATATTGTTCCTCTGTGTTTTTTTTTTTTTTGGTTATCAGGCTGTTATACTAGCCTGATTTTTTATGTACAGATCTCGTTTACAGTTTTGGAAAATGAATAAAGTTTACATTCATTTACCAAAAAAAATAACCTCACAAGCTAGGTTGAGCTCCCTTTAAGTTTATGGCCCAAAATATGGACTCATTTAGCAATATCTATTTTTATAATTAAAATTAGCTTTAAGTTTGTGGATGATGGTATCTGAGTTGATTCTAATATCATATGTCATAAGATACGCTATTACACTCTTTGAAGTTGCCATGAAGGTAAAGAGATATAACTTTATAGTACTCAAAATTGGAAGACCTTTATTTTCTTAAATTAGACGTTTTTCATTGACCTAGTAGCCATTCTCTTTTTGATTCCCTATTTGGAGATTTTTTTTTTTTTACTTTCATTTGCTTTACATAATTATAACCCTTGCTTGATCTACATTTCAATTGGGCCAAAAAAATATAGAAGAAGCTTATTTTTTATAAGAATAACAAATATTTTATCCGCGCTCCCATGGGTGAGTCTTACATGTGGAATATATAAGAAGCTAAAACTAAATCTGCATCATTAGCTTGGAAGTGTAGAAGTATGATTCTTTTTTTTAATCTGATGTTTGGTCTAAAGGTTTTTGCTTTAGTCATATACATGTACTTCTGAATTGAATTGAATAGAATTTTTCTAATTATTTTTTATTTTCTAGTTTTTATATATAATCCATTTTTTATGGATATGAGCATATAAATGCCTTTTACCGATGACTTATAGCATATGGATTGTTGAAAATTAAATAATCTGAATTGAACTTTTTCTTCAAATAGGTTGAAAGTTAAAAGAAATTCAAAATAAGTGGCAAATGACTTTTATTTTAAAATTTAAAATTTAGAGTTAGATAGTTTAACCCTCAATCTCTCATTTACAATGTTCCTCTTTTATAATACTCTAAGATAAAAAGAGAAAAAGGGAAATTCAGCTTGCTAAAGAAGCATGCAGATATTTTTTTCTTTTAAAATTTAAAATTAGTATTTTAATCATCAAACCCTCCTTTGTATATCTTCCCTTTTTTAAATATTTAATAAATAAAAAAGGATATAAAAATGTGGATGTTGCATGTGATCACAACACCAAAAATATCTCTTTGATGTACGAACTGTGAAGATTTTGCTAGCTGAAAAGGTCATCTAATGTTGATGTTTTATTTTAAATATTTCAAACTTTGATATCCGTAAAAAACTTAAGAATCCAAATATTTATCCCAAAAATGATCTTAAAGAACCCATTAGGAGCTCAATATAATTATTATAAAATATTAGATAAAGTAGGGAGAATTTGTGTAATTAGATTGTTTATTTTTTGGATCATAGGGAATATCTTTGTAATATGAAAGTTTTTAGTTTTTTAAATCTTTACATGTCATGTATTTTTTATGGTATCTTGTGTTATATTAATATTTTAAAAAGAAACACGGATGAACCAAAAAACCCTCTTTATAAAAATCAATAAAGACGTGATATCAAATTAATAAATAATGAAAAAAATATTAAATTCATCAACAATTTTTTTAAGAGGAAGACTAACTCGATCATCAACTTTAAATATAATTTGATGCATGTATAATTTTGCATATATGATTTTTGAGTTAAGCTTAGGAGAACCCCTCATCTATGGTGGATGTCTTAGAAAACCTCTCTCAATTATTTTATTTGTGATATTATCCTAAAGTTTGGGCATATTGTAGCTAACTCCACTCAACTTTGAAAAATCCGTGAAAATCCCCTCAACTATGGGGTGTCTCACAAAACCCCTCTTCCACACTTGTTCTTACCAAACAACCAAGCCACCTCGCCCCCCCCCCCAACCTCTGAAATTTTAAAACATAAAATAACTAAAATACCCTTTGAGAAATCTCTTATATTAAAAAATCAGAGTATTTTTTGTAATTGAGTTGTATTTTGGTCATTTCTCAGTCACCTTGTCATATGACATACTAGACCTAATAATATTAGATTTTCAGGGCGTAAAGTGAGAAGAGCTTACGGGGATTTCTTAAATTTTCAAGCTTGAAGGGATTATCTATAATAAGCTCAAATTAAATTAGTTGAAAAACTTTTGTGAGACACAACCCATATTTGAGGGGGGTTAAGTGAAGAAAGTTCAAGGGGTTATCTCAAATTTTCATAGTTGAGGAGGTTTACTTACAATATGCTCAAACTTGAAGGGGTTTTCTCAAATTAAAATAGTTGAGGGGATTTTCTAAAATTAGTCCATGATTCTATGTAGAGATGCTCTTTACATGAGGTTTTTTTCTTTAACTTTTATATCTAAATATGTAATTATGAGATTTTTTTAATTATAGATAATTATAATCTGATAAGGATAATAAAATATTTGATTATTAAAATTTTCTAATTATGAATAGTTTTACTTTGAAGAGAATTCTTTGGTGAATATAAGATTAGTTGTCAATATGTCATTTTCTGATAAGCACGTGGGTACTTATGATATGACATATATTAATTTTTCATGTATTTATAATATAACACATATTAATTTTCTATCCTTTTGGAAACTCCACCACTTTCTGTTTATATACAAAGTAGGACAAGCCGAAAATTTGAGGAGCAAGGATCACTCTTTTAAACGCTTTCCTCTTGATACCGCGCTGTTGCAGTTAGTTAATTAAATTACTGTCTATTGAACCCTGCGGAAACGTCGATATGTCCGAGTGCTTAAGGAGACAGACTTGAAATCTGTTTGGCTTCTCCCGCGCACGTTCGAACCCTGCTGTCGACGAATTATTTTTCCCATGTTTGTTGTTGCCGTACTGCTTGCATTGTTCGATTGATCATCCCTTTCGATTAAGGGGCCGTTTGCTTGCCAAAAAAAAAAAAAAAAAAAAGGAAATCAAGGAATCAGAAACCTATTTCCTTAAAAAATTGTTTTATGATTGTTTGGTTGGTTAAAAAAAAGAAGGAAATCAAATAATAGGAGATGAGTTGTCACAATATTATTGGATGATGTGGGTATTTTTTTAAGAAAAGTTGTTTTGAGGTTGTTTGGTTGGTTAAAAAAAGAAGGAAATCAAAGAATAGGAAACATATTTCTTATAAATAGGTTCTTCTCTTGTGTTTGGTTCATTCTTAAAAATAGGAGATGAGATGAGATGAGTTGTCATTATATTATTGGATGATGTGACCCACACTTAAGGAAATCAATTTCCTTGTTTTTTTGGAGGAAATGGGTGGAGATGAAATGGAGATGAGATGAGATGAGTTGTCACAATATTATTGGATGATGTGGGTGATTTTTAAAGATGAGATGGGATGGAGATGAGATGAGTTGGATGATGTGACCCGTTTCTTTTATTTGGTTTATTTTATTGGATGATATGAGATGAGTTGTTGGATGAAAATAATATTTTATTGGATGATGTGGATGAGTTGTTGGATGAAAAAATATTTTATTAGATGTTGTGGGTAAGTTT